TTTTTTTTTGAGACAAGGTCTCCCTATATAGTGGTTTTTTGGTTTGTTTGTTTTTTAATGGGAATTGAACTCATGATCTCATGCTTGCCAGGCAGGCAGTGTGCCACTGAGCTATATCCCTGGCCCCTATATAGTTCAGGCTATTCTAGAACTAACTATGTAGGCAAGGCTGGTCTCAAACTCACAAAGATCCTCTCGCCTCAGACTCCCAAGTGCTGGGATTACAGGAGTGTGCCATCACACCCAGCTGATGATTCTAGTTTTCAAAGGACCACCAAGGCTTTAACAACAGCATGAAAAAAGGTTGCATGCACTAGTTTCAAAAAACTAAGCTTATGAAACCTCAATATGAAATTTCACAGCAACCCTTCCCCATATTGAGAGGAATATCCCTCAAATTACATAAGTTTAGTTTCTGTCAAGGAAATATTTATTGCACATTTAACAGAAAAATTAAATATATACTTTCCACAAACATAAGATGGAAATCCAAGCATCTATCATATATAAATGCTGAGCCAAAGTCCTTGTTTGGAGAATTCGCCAGCCAGTCACGGTTCTGATCCAGAATCACCAGTCCATTTTTTCACAATGTTGTGGATCTGTTCAGTAAATGGAACATAATCTTCTTTATATAGGACAATCGTCTCCACATAAGACCCTTTCAGAGGTTCGAGTACAAATTCATTTTCACTTCTTGGGAGATCCTTTTGCTCTACTTCAGGACTTTCTAAAAGAAAAGAAACGCCTGAATTAAGAGATCAGTCATTCAAGTCCCGAAAAAAAAGTTAAAAATTACAGCGTCAGATGCCTGTTGTCATTTTCATTCTTTTAAGAAAGAAACATGACAACACTACAGAAATGCTTCCGCGCCACTGAGCTATATCCCCGGCAATTAACTCACTTTAAAAGAGAATTCAGCGGCTTTTTGTGTATTTATAATTGTACAACCAACACAACTGACTTCCGAGTACTTTCGTCCACTTAAATTTAGCGGTCACCGCCCATCTCCCCACCCCTCAGACCGATAACCACACCCCTCAACCGTCGGCTCTCTCTGGATTTCCAGCACCCAGGTGATGGCTCTGTGATTTCCTTTTCTGCTGCTCGCCGCGTGCGACCCGAGCTGAGGACAGAAGGCATCACTTCCTTACGCCAACTCCAGCGTCTCTGAAATCCCATCCTGGACTTTACACAGATTCTTCCAATTCTGTGTATGGGCACGGGCTTACTCAGTAAGAAAGGCTTAAGGGACAGTATTTAAAGGGCATCTCCTGGCATCTTGTGCAGACTGCATTACAGCACGCGCTACGCAACCGCCTCCACCGATTTTGCAGAACAGATCTGCAGTTCTACAGAGCAAGAGGCCGCTTCCCTGACCCTTGGGCACCTCGTGGAGGTCAGCGGGTCCCGAAGACGGCCTCGCCAGACAGCCCTACCTGAAGGCTTCTTCTTCTCCTTCCCGTAAAAGTAAAACAGGGAGCCAAACAGGGTCCAGGCGCCAAGCCCGTAGACCACAGACATGCGCCGGTACCAGGAAGCAGCCCGCAAAGGTTCCATGGCGGCGCGCCGCGAAGGCGCGGGTCTTCCGCAGCGCAGGCGTAAGCGGGCCTTCCGGTCAGCGCGCGGCGATATCCCTCGCCACCACCAATGGGGAGCTGGCGTCGCAGCCGCGGTGCATGCTGGGTCATGTGGTCCGGAAGCCTCTCCCTGCTCCAATTCCGAGGCCTGGATATTGGGGTAGGTGCCCTGGATGCCAGAGGCCAAGCAGCGAGCGGGCGACACTGCGCGCCACGTGATGAGGAGCAGTTGACAGTTTTTCTGAGCAGAAACTTCTCACTTGTAAAACTGTAGTGCCTGCCTTACATAGGCCAGACGATATTTGAAAAGTTAATTCCATTTCCTCTTAGAGCCTACAGATTTGCGAGGATGCTACTTGTGGTTCCCTGTAACTCATCTTTCCACTTTTCCTGTCTGGACCTCTGGGTGAACTTCGGATACCTTAAATCAAATCTAATGGGTCCTCTGTTCTCTGGGTCTCATTCTTCAGCCTCTGCTGGGGCCTCGCCTGTCAATCACGGAGCGCCACCCCACACCCCGCTCCCTTTCATTCTGTTTGCTTTATCTTAATCATGCCAACTGTACCCACATCACAAAAAGGAAAAAAATCTTCCACTGCGCACCCTCAGCTTTTCTTATTCATGTATTTCTTAAAGCATAATCCACCCGCGCTTCAAGATACTTAGCAACTTGAGGGCGAGGCCGGTGCCTGATCCAAGTAGGCTCAGGAAACTACCCTCAACTTTTGACCCATTCTCAAACTTCACTTCAAAAGAGCGTTTGACATTGACACCCACTCTCCTTCTGCCACTTCGAAAACATTTTCTTTAGTATCTTCCAGGGCTCCTTTCCCATTGAATGTCCTGTAAAAATTGGTGTTCTACCTACAGATATCTACACCTGCAAAAATTAAAAGGTACCACTGGCTTAAATGTAAAGCTAAAACTATAAACCTAGAAGAAAGCATTGGAGAAAATCTTGCCATCTTGGGATAAGCAAAGATTTTTTTTAAAAAAATACAAAAAAGCATAAACCACAAAGCAAATACTGATAAAATTTCAAAAGTAGTTTTAAATTTTTCAAAATTCAGGCTTTTGCTTTTTGAAAGTCACAGGAAGAAATGAAAAAATGAAAAAGACAAACAGGATAAAAATTTCAAAATGCATGTATCTGACAAAGGACTTGTATCCAGGATATGTAAGGACCCCTTGCAACGCTTATAAACAGACAATCCAACTAAAAACGTAACACATTTGAATTCAATCAAAGAAGACACGCAACTGGCCAATAAACACAGGAACCTCAGTGACCAAAGAAATGCGGAAAAAAAAACTATTAGGCAAGAACTTAGACATGAGTAGACCTGGAGATAGGGGGCTTCGGGATACTTGAAAAGCAAAGGTTTTGTGTGTGTGTGTGTGTGTGTGTGTGTGTATGTGTGTAAAAGCAAAGGTTTTGTGTGTGTGTGGAAAAGCAAAGGTTTTGTGTGTGTGTGTGTGTGTGGCCCAAGAAGGTAACATCTTCTGAACATGCTGATAAGGTCCATTGTGGTTCAAAGTTGAGACCATGGGTGAGAGGTTGGAAAAACTTCAAAGTTTCAAAACACACTAAGCAGAAAACATCTACCTAGGTAGTAAACAGACTGAGTAGGTTAACACAGCCCACTTTCTTTGGAGGAAGGAACAGCTATTCCTAAAAGACCTAGTTAATCATGTAGGGAACCTGAGCCTTCTTTCAGTACAGCTCCATCTTGGCACCTGCCCACCTTCCTGCTTGAGGTACACTATGTTTTCTCTTTTTGCAGTAAGCCCTATCTATACTCTAACCAATGGCTTGATGTGTCTTATCTGCTATCCTTCATCAAAGAAACAGAGACTAGGGTATGTTGCCCGTTTGTGGCGTCAGGACCTCCCAGTGCTAGGATCCAGGTTCCCAGTGACAAAAAAGCCTCTTAAAGATGGCTAAAATTAGACTGGAGAATACCAAAAGTTGTAAGCATTTTATCCACCTGCAACTCTTACTCATGGGAACATGAACATTACAGCCTCTTTGCAAAGCTGGCAGTTAGTAGGTTGAACATACACCCATCGTATGACTCAGCCACTCCATCCTATCTCCCCAGAGGTGGAAACCCTCTATCTCCACAAGTGCAGGTGCAGGAATGTTCAGTTTTGTTCATAGTAGCAAAAAATGGAAAATATTCAAATGTCCACCACCTAGTGAATGTGTACATGAAATGTGAGTCTCTTTGCAATAAAAATGTACTACTGGAACAGGTAGCAACATGGATGGATCGCAGATGGATTGTGCTAAATGAAACCAGCCAAATACAAAAGAAAGCAGACATAAAATTCTGGAGGATGGGACCTCCCAACTCTGGGGCCCCTCTGTCTGTTCTGCTTCTTGCAATAAATTCTTGCTTTCCCTTTGGTGTGGGGGGGGATATATATATAGAGATTGAACTCACTTTCATTTTCTACAGAGTACTTATCTTCTAATATATCATTTACTTCTTTTAACTGCTAGCCTTCCCTAACTTAAATCTCACCTCCAGAGATGCAGGAATTTGTGTCATGGGCCATATTTCCAGTGCCTAGACGCCTACTCTATGCACAGAAAGTACTGAATAGTTATCTTTTGAATGAATGAAATCATAGATCCAGAGTTCTGACAATTATTTTGGATGTAGAATTTTAGACACAGAAAAGCTGCCAATCATGAAGACAGAATGGACTTGCAGATGTGCCTAGATCCAAGAATCACTTCACATGTGCTCTTCTAAGGAAAAGTCATTTGAGACAGCAAAATGTCTTACAGGATAAAAAGGATGACACTAGTTCAGGATTTCACGCAAAAGAAATTCCTGGGCAACAACTGTGCAGCAGGCCTAGAAAACAGTTGGCTCATTAAAAGAGGGCACCCGAAGCCTTTAGAGAAAAAGCGACTTCATTCAGTAGGATAGGAAAGTGGAATCTCTTAATAAGGAGAAGGCAAAATAATTCTGGCAAAAAGTAACCAAAGAGCTGGGTGTAGTAGTGCACACCTGTAACTCCAGCTACTTGGAAGGCTGAGGCAAGAGAATTGCAAGTTCAAGGCCAACTCAGACCTATCTCAAAAGGGCTGAGGATTAGCTCAGTGGTAGAGCACCCTTGGCTCCCTCCCCAGGACTGCAACAGGAAACAAAACAAAACAAAACCAAAAAAACAACTAAAAACAAGAAACTCTGGGGAAAACAACAGCAAATCTAAAAAATTATAAACCAAACAAGAAACCAGCCAGTGTGCAGCATGAGAACATATAAGAAAAAAGACTTAGATTTTGTTATGTGCAATGTTCTCCTTCAAGTTACACGGAGACCAATTGTGACACAAAAGCTATGGGGAAAAATCATATATGACCACCACCTGGCTTGGACTAGAACAATATTTACATCAGCACAGTTGTGTAAATGTATTTTATTAAGCTTTCACAATCAACTTAAAAGACAAAAATACAAAATTATAGTTATAGGCTAAAATATAAATTGTGCCAATCTTGATAATATAAAAATAAAGGTATCATTGACCAAAACTGGAGGTTGGAAAGAAGGTCTCAATATCCTCATTCTATAAATAGAAACTAGAAGATATTTGCTAAAACTTAATATTTCAACAACAAAAACACAGAAGAAGTTGAGTGCAGTTCTGAGTGGCAGGTCTAGGATTAGGGAGAGAAGGGAACTATTTATAAGCTCTCCAGATAAGGTGTTTGCTTTGACCATACATATATATCACTTGGATTTTTAAAAAGCACCCATTCAAGTTATTTTACTTGATCCCTAAGACAGATGCGTTGTCAGTGTCAGCCGTTGTTGACGTCACCGGGTTGCACTGGACTCGCAAGTTACTCAGGAGTCAGACTCCAACCCTCTGGCCCCAACAGAGCTTCACACATGTCTTACCTTCCCCGGTCTCCTAGCATTTACACAGTGAGTGAGTACCAAGCGCAGGAAGTAAGTCACATGACTCGAACACACGGAGATCTCAGGCACCAAATGTGCATCGGCACTGTTTTAGCTAGTGCTTTCCTTGTCCAGTTTTATTTCCTTGATGAGCTTTAAGATCTGCATCTAAACAAGCTGCCAAGATACATCACCTCTGATTTCATAGAGACTAACAAGTTAGGACACAAAAAAGCACATAAATATCTACTAAAATGTTTATGACCTTACAATTTTATGGTACAGAAAAGGGACATACACAGGAATACAAATAAATTATAACCTGCAGACATACATACAAAGCTTGCTTTGATTACTTAGTAAAAGCTGCCAGGAAAGTGAAAGGAATGTTACGAAGCCTTTATAAACAATGGGGAGCACCTGGACAAGGGCCCCCATCTAACAGGCATTGGAGACAGCCAGCTTCTTCAGGTGGTCCATGAACACCTGCAGGCTGACGTCGTCGGTCAGGATGGGTGCTCCAGTTTCCTGCAATACAACAGAGGAACTCAGTGGCAGAGATCTGGAAGCCAGGTAGAATTCACGAGCTGTTAAGCACCAGCCCACCTCAGGGCACCCACAGGCACTACCTCTGCCGCCGTAACTGCTTTCAGCTGAACCGTGCCAGGTCCCCAGAGACCAGGCCGTCCCACTGCTGTAGACACGGTCTCGAGCATACACCTTTCTATGTCACTTAACACTATCTTGTAGGATATTAGGTTTGGTGGAAAATGAGGAAAGAGTATAGGACATCTCATTGTTTTTATCATTTCCTACAACTGCACATAATTCACAACTATCTCAAAAACAAATTCAATTTTTAAAAAGTATTAGAAGAAAAGAAAAAAGTCATCGGAGAGACACACAGATGCTGGGAGTAACTAGCTAGAGTAGGCATCCGCTGAGAAGGAGATGGCAGGAGCTGCTGTGTGGCGCTGGGAGAGAAGGACTGGGCCATGCTGCCTCGTGTCCAGGAGCAAGCAGGGCCTCACCCAGGGCCCTACGCTGTGCACTGCAGCAGTGACCCACAGGGCAGCGCCCACCCTACCTCAACTACGTCAAGGCAAGTCGGGTGTCCTCCCCCCAGCAAAAATACCCAAGTTACCCTTTCTGTCTCAGGACCAACTGATAAGATTTTAAAACCAGTTTTTACAAAGTTGCCTGCCCTCCTTCCCAAATCCCTGACAGTTTCTTACCTGTCCCCAAGCATACAGGTTATTGTGTGTCTGAGACGGGTTCACTTTGGACAAAAGGAATCGAGCCTTTAAAAAAAGAAGTTTAAAGATTAAAAGTGGCATTAATGTTAGTGTCATATATAAAACAAGCTCTCACATTTCTCTGGTGAAATCAGAAGTCTCTCACTGCACAGGAGGCTCTCTAGTGTACGCCAGTGCTCCACTTTTGAAAGCTCCAGGACACTGTGGGCCCTACCCTTCTACAGCAATATATTCACGCTAGCAGGAGTCAAGCTGGATGGATTCTGCCTGCCAGTTATTTTACCACATCCAGCAGCATCGACTGCTTCGATCCGAGCCAGGCTCACCTGGCTGCCGCCGTGCTCAGTGTGGACATAGCGCGGCATGGGGAAGCGCGCCTGCAGAATCTCCTGTGCGTCGTCCAGCGGGGCTTGCAGCAGGTGCTTGAAGTTTTCGTACTCGGGCATGTCCTGGTAGCCAGCCTTCTGCCACTGGGCTATGGTCTGCACGAAAACAAGCCAACCAGGACTGTCATGGGGAGGCTGTTGCAGGAAGGCTGCAGTGGTGGACCCCAGCCTGGCTCCAGGCCTTCCAGAAGCATCTCCCTGGCCTCCTAGGACAGGTTCCAGTGAAATCACAGGTCAAATGGGGTTCCTGGGTGCAGAGCTGGCTGGGAGGGAAGAGGCAGGAGGGCTGCAGGGGGGCGTCCAGGACACTACCTGGAGTTCCTTCCAGAGATGCCAGCTACCAGCCTTGTCCCTTGTCCCTTCCCAACTGCACGGCACCTGGTTAACAAGGGAGCCTGGCCTACCTGCCAGTCCACTTCCACTGTCACCCCTGGCCTGGCCCCTTACTCCTCACACCTGGAGAGTAGGGTCTGCAGCTGGCTCCACAAAGCTGTGCCCCGTCTTTGCCCAACAGCACCCACACTGCCCTCTCCTCAGGCAGACAGGCGGGCTGGCCTGTGAGACTGGCCCACCCCAGCCCAACTCCTCTCTAGGTAGGGGAGAGAAAAACTGTAAGAGCCAGACGTGGTGGTGCTTGCCTGTGATCCTGCCACTTTGGGAGGCCGAGGCAGGAGAATCACAAGTTTGGGCCCAGCCTGGGCAATTTAGCTATTTAACAAAATCCTGTCTCAAAAAAGAAAGGCTGGGAATGTAGCTCAGTGCAAAGAGCCTGGCTTCAATCCCCAGCACCACAAAACATAACAACAACAACAAAAAAAGTGACTGTGACATCACAGGACTCTCCTAAAAAGCCTTCTGCTACAGCCTGCTCTCCCCTCTGAGAGGTGCCAGCCACCACTGTCCAAGTCTCAATCTGCCTGACTGGTGGCCAGGGAAAGTGCCCATAGCTCCCTCAGCTCCAAAAGCTCAAGAACACCCACAGCCCCAAGAGTCAGGGCTTCTGAAGAGCAAGAAATAAAATGAAAGAATGTCACATCTTCCTCTTTAGAACTCCTCCCTTGGCCAGAAAAGGTGCTTGATAAATAAGTAAAAAAGGATGGGGGGCAGCAGGTAACAAACGATGACATTCCATCGCCAGGAAGCACTGCTGCTGGTCACTGGACAGCCAGGGCTGTGGGCAAAGGGCTGGCAGAGGCGCTGATAGGCTGAGAATTTCTTGTTCTAAAACACCTACTAGTATCTGAAAATTAATACCTTCTAAGTTACTCAGGGAATTCAGAAATGTAATTTATATCCTTTCAGAACATTTGCAATCACTTGCATTGTTTGGATGCTACGAAGCCAGATCCATCACCAGAGGCAACTTACTGAATGAAAAGAACATACAGCAGAAGACAGAGCGCCACCGGATGTAATGTGAAGTGAAGGGTTCTCCACCTAGCAGGGCAGCGCATGCCTATCATCCCAGCTACTTGGAAGGCTGAGGTAGGAGGATCACAAATTCAAGGCCATGGGGAATTTAGCAAGACCCTATCTAAAAATAAAAACATTTGCAAAGGGTGTAGCTCAGCACACCCTCAGCACACTTCAATCCCTAGTGGGGTTGAAAAAAACAAAAAAGAACAGAATACTTTTTCCCCTCTTAAAGATACAAAAATTCAGAGCCATTCCCTCCATAGCACACAAACCTCTTTGAGAAAGCAAAGCAAAGAAAAAGAGAAACCTGCTCGGCCCTGAAGCTATCCACAGCACCCCAGGGACCCACGGAGCCAGCGTGATGTCCCTATTCGAGGTTCTTCCATCAAACAAAAGCTGTAGGCTCAAAGTCAACTCTCATGGAACGCTGGAAGAACTTCAGTGTGTTCAAGTTTACTGAGGAAGAGTAAACTCGTTTACCTAAACACAACTTCAGAAATAATAAATTATAGTGATTTAAAAGGCCCACCTGAGATTTTCTTATAGCAAATACTACTCTTGAGAAGTATACAAATATTGAATTCTTTCTTCAAATGTCATGAAAAACCCAGTTCTTATATAAGTAACAAGAAAGCAGAAAAAACAGCAATAACGTCATCTTACCTCGCCAAGATAAATGACAATCTGGAAGAACGTGTCCATCAGCAAGATTCTGTCAGCTAGAATGCTGCTGCTGTCCAAGAGCACTGGCTGGAGAGAGAGAGAGGGCATCAGGCCTCACCCTTCCCCACAGGCAGTCACTGCAACCCTGACGGTGACAGCGCCCGCGCCCTAGGGGTTCCCTCTGCTGCTCCCCGAGCCAGAGGCTCCAAGTCTTAATTTCAAGTAGAAACAGGCCTCCAACAACCAGGTGGGAAGAGAGAACCAGAAATGATTCTCAACATTCCCAGTTTTCTGTTGGAAATTCATCTTATCAATACGATCTTTCTCTCAAATCTACATTAGCTATACTTGAAAGCACACTTAGTAAGTTCTTAGGGTCCGGAGACACAGTTCAGCAACACGGAGCCTGCCTGGCAAGCACGAGGTCCTGAATTCGATTCCCAGGACTAAAAAAGAACTATATTCCAAGAAGTTCTTGAAGTTCATTACAAAATATATTTTATCATGATTTTTATTATAATAATAAAAGTAACATACTAAATTTTAAAAAATCTGTACCCAAGTATAACAAATATTGATATTTTAGTTTATTTCCAGAGTTCTTTATTTTTAAAGCCTTCTAAAAAACACAACTCACTAAGCTTTTTTTTTTTAGTTTAAAGATCATAATTGACTTTACCTGCAAACTAAGCAGTGCTCTATTCCATATAGATAAATATAAAAAGTTTCTGCTGTCTTTTCATGTGACACTTTCACATACAGATTTCTGTCTTTTAATTACATAAACTATGTATTTCTTAGAGTACTTATCTCTCCACTACCGAACTAGAGCATCTGGACTGTTATATAATTCTCTGTTGCAGGAGTTCATTTACTGCTTCTCTGCACAAAGCCACTTCTTTCTCTAGGAGTATCTTTTCAGACACTTTGTAAGACTTAAATTACTGGTCAAAGTATATCAACTTGTTGGAGAAAAATCATCCTTATATTTATAAGTTTCTGTGCTATTACTGCCTCCCACACAAACATTATTTATATATCCTTTGAATTTTTCCTATGGATTCTTTTAAAACACTCAGAAATGTTAAATGCTACAAACATTCAACATTTCCTTTCTTTTCTTTTTTTCCAGCTGTTGAGAGGCAGCTGCTAGGAGACCCTCCAGTGAGGGGGCTGCCACGCTCAGCCCACGGCAGAGAGCCCCCAGCTCACCTCCGGGGGGCCGTGGAAGGAGTAGGAATAGAGGATGGGCTGGATCATGATCAGGGACTGGGTCAGGTCCTGCCGGGCAAAGTGGTGTCTGTAGTAGGACGACTCATCAGGACTGTTGTTAAACACCTGGAGGAACGGCGATCTTCTGAGGTGGAACATGAACTGCAGTCACAAAGGGAAGAAGACAAACACACACAGCTGTGAGCCTGAGTACCCAGAGGGCAGACCTGCCTGGGTCTCCGCAACAGGAGGACCCAGACTCTCCGAAAAGACCTCCGGGTTCACAGAGACAGGGGCTGAAGGTGGCAGCAGGGGCTGGCGGAAGTGCAGAATGACAAGTCATTGTTTAAAGGGTACAGTTTCATTTTTGCAGGATGAGTAATTCTGGAAATTGTTGGGAGTGGCTGAAACTGGAGAGTAATTACCCACGTAGGACAAAGCCAGCCCAAGAACACAGGAGCTAGCCACTGTAGCTTGTTAACTGACTGCTGGGCAGTGAGGTGGAAATTAATCAACCTCTCGAGGGTATAAATAAATGCTCTACTGTTCATGGGCAGGTCCTCTTCTCAGCTCAGAAGAGAGAGGACCTTCGCTTGACCCCAGCTTCTTCTCTCGTCTGTTTTTTCCTCATTCTCGCCGCCGTTCCTTCCCGGGGTACATCAAGAACCCAATAGATCTGTACAGGACATCTGCTGTACAACACGTGACTCTATCTAACATCACACAACTGTTCCCTTACAAATAGTCAAGATGGTAAATTCTACCACAGTAAAACATTTTTTAAAGGGGACTTCTATGTTAAAGCTTCCTTATGAGCAAAAACTCCTCCTTATGAGCAAAAACCCAAACCAAAATTTACCTCCAGAGTCCCTGTGGAGAAAGACTATCTACTCTCAAAGAAATGAAGTAAAATGGGGAAAGATACACTCGGAGCTTTGAGGAGGAACCATGGCACAAGAAACTCCTGCGGTGAGGGCAGCAGGAGACTCAAGGGGTCTGGGGTACCTTGCAGACACACAAGGGCCAAGGGTGGAGGTGGGGGCAGAGACAGGGACAGGGACAGGAGTGGCAGACGGCACTCAGGACAACGGCTGGTGAGTGAGTGAGGTTAAGCATGAGGCGAAGGAGACAAGAGACAATGCTGGAAATGGAACTTCTGTACCCCAGGGTTGGGGGCAGGACAGGCTTAGCTCACTCTGAAGAGCTGTCAGAAGAGGAGATCACACTTCCTCTACATGCATCAAGTTTCTGAGCCTCTACATGTTAATCACAGGTTCTGAAATCATCACCGTGGCTGGCACTCAATGCACCCTATGCACACGGCATGAAGTGCTTGAGGAGGATTATTTGGCCCTTCCAGGAGCCCATGCAGCAGGGTCTCAAGCCGCTCCCAGCCTTCAGTGAGGAAACTGAAGCACAGAAGCAAGGCCCAAGGCCTCGTGCTCGCTGCGTGGCAGAGCTGCCCTCTGGCCCAGGCCAGGGCTCCGGGGACTGAGCTCTGACCTCCACCCCCAAATGTCTCACTACAGTGGCACCGAATGACCACCTCGGCTGGGGCTCCACCTGGCTCTCCAGAGCCTCAGCTCGGGGGCGGGGGCGGGGGGGCCCAGCAGCACCCAGCATGTCGCATCTGCACCACAGCCTGGCTATGGGCAGGGCCTTCGGGAACAAAGGGTTTCACAGCTTTAAAGAGTCTTCAGACCCCTCCCCTCAGACCAACTCCTCCCTTCCACGGATGAGGAAAGCAAAATGCAGAGGGGCTTGGGATGCCATCGATGACAAGCAGGAACAGCGCCAGCACAGGGCTCTCCCCACAACACTGAGTGGCCTCAACCGCTTGGACAAGGGCGCCTGAAAGGGCCAGGCTCACCTGCGAAGTGCTGACCAGGGCCCAGCACCAAGAAAGGTGCTGAGTCCTCGATGGCCTCAGCTCACGCAGCCCCTGTAGTCAGCACTGAGTGAAGGATGGAGTTCAGCCAAGGTGCACTGACCTTTATGACCTATAGCCTGACACTCACAACCCAAAAGTCTTCATTTTACCTGGAGAATGGTTTATTTCTCTGATGCTTACTGTTCCATGGCAAATATATATTTCTTTTTTAGTGGCTTGTTTCTTTTCTATTCCCCTTTCTGGCGCTGGGGATGGAACCCAGGGTCATGCACATGCGAGGCAAGTACCCTGCCACTAAGCTACAGCCCCAGCCCCTGAAGCAAGCATCTCTCACCTGAGGATACAGAGAAAAGGCATCCGAGAGCCTAAAAGAAGTGGGATCCTCTTTGTTATACTGTCCAAACTTCTGACACTGTTGAAATACAAAAAAAAAAAAGAAGAAAAACCCTTAAGTTAATGTCACCTGGAAAACTCCTACACTAGCAGCCCTGGTTCCACCTTAACTGTCACTTCCTATGAATTCTAGACTGGAGCAGCCAGGGCAGACCAAGTAGGAGCCAGCCGCTCTGCAGCTCTAGCAGCTCCTGGGCAATGCTGCCAGGCCCACCCTGACCTGACGGCTGCCAGGCTCTGCGAGGCACCACTCCTGTGTGACAGCCTGTGAGACCACGCTGACCGGCGATGAGCACGGGCACACACGTGTTCCATCGCGCTGCGATGCAGGGTTCTCCTTCTCTCTATGGCAGGTCTCCAAACTGTAAGGTTTTCTCTCATTTCCTGCCATTATTTTGATCACACCTTTCCTCCAGCCAAACGAGGCTGTCCCCTGTTAAGAAGCTCACTGCCAGCAGTTACCTCCCTTTCCTATTTCTGCTCATCGCCCAAGCAAGCCTCCTCTGCCTTCTTCAGTGGCTCCTTGTTCTCCTCACTCCTCACTGCGGGCTGATCGCAGGTGGGTTCGTGGCCCCTGTTCTCATCTTTGCTGCCTTGGTAACAAATGAACATTAAAGCCACACCAGTGACTCCAAATCTCCCTCCCTGTGTCCAGCTCTGAGCACCAGTGGGGATCTCCCCCTAATCACTGCGCTGCTTTCCATAGAAATATAAATCTACTGCCAAGAGCGCTACAATTATAGGCACCAGGCCAACTCTGGATATATTTTCATATGATCACATTCAACCTATCAAGAATAAGCTACTGGTTTTTTTTAAAATGGAAAACAAAATGTGATGACAAGATAATAGAATAACAACAGCTAATACAATGTTATTATTATCTTTAAAGTACTCAGAGCACAATATAGGGGCACAAAAAATTCTCTAATTGATATTAGCACAAACCTTCCTTTTCTATGAACCAAGAAACACTAATAATATAACTAGCTTGTATTTTTTCTCCCTGTTCCCTTTCCTTTCCCCTATCTTAGTTCCTTTTTCCTTTTAAACAATTTATTCCCTTTTCACAATATTTAATGCATATTTTAGGCCTTATTTACTGTTTCGATTTCTCACCAGAGACAATACGATGTTTACACATGAGTCTGATTTATTTCACTTATGAGTATGATCTCAAGTTGTATCCATTTACTCAGAAAAGTCTCAAGTTTATCCTTCTTTATGGCTGAGTAATACTCCATTGTGTAAAAATACCACATCATGGCAGCGTGTGGCAGTGCACGCCTGTAATCCCAGCACTCAGGAGGCTGAGGCAGGAGGACTGTTGCGAATTCGAGACCAGCCTAGGTTACATAAGTGAGCTCAAGGCCAGCCTGAACTGCTTAGCGAGACCCTATCTCAAAAAGGAAAAAAAAAAAAACCCACATCCTTTTTATCCATTCCTCAGTTGATGGGTATTTGGGTTGTTTCTGGGATTTAGCTATGACAAATTGTGCGGCTATGAACATGGGTGCACATATATCGCTGTGGTATGATGTTTCTAATTCTTCTGGGAAGATACCCAGAAGGGGTAAGCCATTGTATTTAAAAAAAAAAAAACAAAAAACAACAAAACTTCTCTCCTTCCACATTTTCTACCAGGGTACCTACATGTACCCCACTTGAAATGTAAGAAAATGCTGACCCTTTCTGACTTCAGCACTAGGACTGAACTCGAGGCCTTGTGCACACCAGGCAAGGGCTCTCCCACTGCACTACATCCCCAGCCCTGGCGTTTAATCTGTATACAGTTGCTTCCCCAAGTTCCAGCAGTTTTCCTTTCAGCACACTTTCTAGGTCCAAGTTTTCCGCTCTCTCTGTCCTGCAGTACGCTCCATCACATCAGTGCCCTTGCCCTGCAATCTACCTGCAGTGCCCACGGTAGGCATGACTGCAGGCATGTGCCTGTGAGGCACCCCTGACCTGAGTCTAACCTCTCTGCCTGAAGTTAGGGCATGCCATAGTCCCCACGAACCCCCACTGCCTCCGTCCCCCCGCCAGCACAGGCCCTGTGACACTGGTCCCTCCACTGTCCCCAGCACAAGCTGAAGGGCACAGCTCCCTCCCTTTCCTACCAGCCTGCTCTGTACACAAAAGGCCACCCCAAGGCTCACTTCCCACAGGAAGCCTCTGCCAACCCCTCACTGCTCACCTGTCCTCCCTTTGAAATCCTAGAGGAACCGTTTTCCAATTCTGATGGAAATCTGGCACTTCCTGAGAAACAGCTGCCAGCGTGGCAAGGGGCAAACAGGGCTAAACAGAGCCCACTAGGTTTCCTTTGTAGGTTTCTGGTCACGCATACAAACTGGGAGCCTTCATCTAAAGGCAGCCCTTACAGGAGCAGATCTGCATCCCCTGTGTACTGGGTAGCTATTCTAATGGCAGCCCCCAAGGAGAAAACCCACAATTAAAGCTTCTCTCGTATCACTCTCAGAATGCCCACTATGCATAAACTTTTGCTGGCTGAATGTATAAAATAATAGGTGTAAGTAACAACTTTCTTTTTTTTTTTTTTTTTTTTAGTAACAACTTTCTTTCCTACAAAGTAAAGCAGAGACCAAGCCTGAACCCAGCGCCACGGTTCCCAATTTACCAGTCGGATGAGCTGCCGGTCCAGCCACCTGAGCACATCGGGGCCCTCCTCCGACTCCGCCCGGAACACTCCGAGCCGCGCCATCAGGACCGCTGCGGCCTCCTGGTCAAACGCAGCTTCTATGAGCTGGAGCTGGCTCTGTACATCTGCCCAACTGACAAGTCCACAGTTAGTGCGGTGTGACATTCGAGAGCCACCACAGCCACACATGCAGATCCTGCTCCTAAACTGAAGATAGCACAGATCTGAGCTGCACTGGTGTAACAGCTAAGGGATGAGAGGGGACCGGCTCGCACTCAGTCACCCTCACGCCATCACTGATGGCTGTACGCTCGAAGGAGAATGTACAGACAGCCCCACCATGTGCTGGAGACGTGGTGAAAGCAGACACGCAGAGATAGGGGCTCTATCTAAAGTTCCTTTCTCAAAATCATCTTACAAAAGCCTCAATGTTTACAAATTTACAAAATGACCTTCTGGCATCACCTCTGCTGAAAAAAGCAATCAGCACACATTTCTCTGTCTTTGAGATGAACAAAGATAGTACAAACAAGCCTAAACAACAGCGGACAGACCAGGAACGGGTCTGCACAACACACACAGCACTGGGATCCAGAATATACAGAGTCTGCAAATCAGGGCACAAGAGAAAGGAACAGGTTTGACAAAGATGTGCAAAGGCTAAATTCATGTGATCAGGACACGGGAAGAGGCAACTCACTGCAAAAGGGAAAATACAACCCCCAGTGAGACAGCGCTCTGCAGCGCTGTTGAAGGCTGTAATGCCCCTCATTAATGAAGCCACAGGGCACCTGCTTCACCCTACTGGGGAGAGTGCAAATGAGCTTCTTGGGAGAGCGGTTTTGTAGAACACACACACCACTTTTCTGAAGGGGCTGGCAAGAGACTACCTAAGTGTGCCACAACCTAGATAGGCGAACACAGTGTCCCCGCAAGGCAAGGCTTGAAATGTGCTCTCAGTGGAGTGCTGTGTGCCAGCCAAACTACACAACACTACATGAGCTCCCCAAATAAAGGAGACACAGGCCTGCGAACTGCAGATATACGCAGTTACAAATACAGGTAATATCCACATAAACTGTGAGAAGCTGCCACATACATATATAATAGACACCTATGGTATACAACTTCACAGAAATGGGACTGGGAGGTTGAACCAGTGACAGCCTTTACTCTGGGGAGGGTGTGTGTGGAACCTCAGATACACTCGTCTCCCTACAGTGCGCATGGAGACTGGATCGCCGGCCCTCTCCAATACACAATGTACAGATGCTCAATTCCCTTACAGAAAATGGGACAGCATTTGCAAGGATCTATGCACACACTCGCATACACTTCAAACCATCTCTAGATCACTTGTATTACCTAATACAGTGTAAGTATCATGCGAGTAGTTGTTAGGCTGTTGTGATTGGGTAACAACACAGAAAAGATCTGTACATGTTCACAGAGACACAATACTTTTTCCAAATATTTTCCATGGAAGGCTGGCTGAATCACTGGACATGGAACTCACAGATATGGAAGATCAACTGCATTTACGTTCTACCTCAATTGTTAACAAGGAGGATGTATTTGAGTTGCTCATCTAATAAATTAAAATAATGAAAAATAACATTTTGGGGGGGGTACCTGGAATTGAACCCCAAGTTCTTACTGAGCTATATCCTCACTTTTTATTTTTTATTTTGAGACAGTATCTTATTAAACTGCCCGGGCTGGGCTTGAATTTGTAATCCTCCTGCCTCAGTGCCCACACGATGGTGGGATTACAGCCGTGCGCCACCACGCCTGGCCACTGAAAGTAACTTGTAATGAACTATGTTCCTACTGCAGGCTGATTCTTCTGGGCAAGTGCCTGTAGGCCCAACTGGGTTAGCCAGGAGTGCTGCGCCCTCTTCTAATCTACTGAGCGAGGAAGGACTGGGAAGGAAAATTTGAAGGAATCAGAAACACCAGCGTACGGATGTTAAAATACCTCTTTACAGGAAAACAGCCAGTAAGCAGCTCAACAGAAAGCAGCGGGGTGACTCACTTTCGAGCAATGGTGGTCACACGGATGCGCTTCTGAGTGCTAGAGTGCTGGTACTGCGTGACAAACTGGATGGCGCCTCTGCTTCCTTGGGGGATCGGGGCGTTGTGCTGCAGGGAGAGAGGCCACACACCTGTTATAGTCATAGGCTCGACTTAAACACAGCCACAGAGCCCGCTGGGCTCTCCTAAAACAACGAACCGCGAGGCTGGGGAGGTTCTGGCTGTGTTTTGAGTGGTACACTTAGGGCCTGCACAGTTCATGAATATAATCGCTGCTTCAAAACAAAACAAACCCAGGAAAACAAAGAAAGAAGCACAGTCACTGCTGAACTCCTGGGGTAAGGGATGTGGCTCAGGGGTAGAGTATGTGTTTGTGTTCAGCATGTACAAGGCCCTGGGTTCATCACCAGCACTGAGGAGGAAAAGCAAACCAGACCAAACTCCAATGAACAACATGCATACTGAAGCAGGGATGAAATACACCTATGATCACAAATTGCTTTGAAATGCATAAAAAGTAAGACTGATCAATAACAGATATACAACAAGCATTACCCTAAAATGTTGGTTACAGAATTGAGTTGGTGGCTATTTGGGTGTTCATTGCAGAATTCTTTCAATTATTCGTATGCCTACGACTCACAGCAGGGAAAGACTGGCACACTCAGAAACTCACTAACACTGCGAGGGCTGGCAAAAGCCCCGGGTCTCCTCACGACTTACCAGATCACCGTCAAAGCAACAGAAGTAATCCGTTGTCTGACTCTGACTAAACCCTGGAAGGATGAAAGACCAAGCCAGACCAGCATCAGGACTCGTACAATACCAAAGTAGAATGTGTTTGTGCAGAAAAAAGAAAAAACCATGAGATCCCTGGTTTATAGTAAATCAGAAAACCAGGCTCTATGACATAAAGATGTGCGGAGAAACTCAACCCACCTGATTGATGACTTCGAAGTAGATGCCAAGGGTGGATGTGGGGTCCAGGCCGCAGATCTTCCACTGACTTGTGCCACCCACACCAAGCTCCTAGGAGCGAGGAGAGCAATTAAACATCAAAAACCAACCCTGTGCTCAACGGTGATGACAGCTACAGATGAGCAGACCAGGCTCAAAACATCTATGACGTGAAAGTGTAAATTTCAGTGAAAAGTACATTTACAGTAATTAATTCTTTTTTTTGGTGCCGGAAATCAAACTCAGGGCCTCACAGCTGCCAGTCAGACATTGTGCCGCTGATGTGTATCCCTGGTTCCTTATAGTACATTAAAATTGAGCTTTTCATATGGACACTCGGAACAAGTGTCCTAATGTCAGTAGAATACACACACTGAAGTCAACAAAATCAAGTCAAGATTGGGCAAAAAGTAACAGTAGGAGAAAGAATTATCTACTTAGACTGAAAGTTTCATGTACTTCTTTTAACATCACTGAGAAAACTGAGCTGCAGCACATTGGCTATCAAGTATTCCTTTCTAATTCAACACTTTTATATATTAATCCTCAGTGAGACTGCAGCAGTATGAAGGCTGCTTTTTACTGGTTAGTTAAACAGCTCCTGGTGATGAATATGAGGCCTAGTACAATGTGAATTCAAGTGTCACCTAGAAGAAAATACCTACAATCCCCAACTGAGGTCACCGGACTCTGAAACGTCCACCCCGTCACCATGGAGAAGCTGAGTGTACACACTGCCACACCTCATCAAGCTGCACAATGCTGCGCTTACAAAACAGCATGCAGCCGGGCACAGTGGTGCACACCTAAAAACCTAGCACCATGGGAGGCTGAGGTAGGAGGATTACAAGTCTGAGACCAATCTGGTCAACTTAGCAACTTGGACAGACCCAGTCTCAAAATAAAAACACAAAAGGCTTAAGATATAGTTCAATGTGAAGGCCTGGGTTCAATCTCCAGTACTGGCCAAAAAAAAAAAAGGGGGTTTCTGCATTAAGGTGCCACTCTTACCCCACCCTGCTGCAGTCAGCTGGGTGCAGTGGGCATCATGTGGTGCCTCCACAGAGCCCTGCCAGGGCTGTGTGCCCCTGGCCAAAAAGCAGCTACCTCAGGAGGTGACCAAGTCGCAGGGTGGAGAGGTTCCCTGAAGCCCCACAGCAGGAGGGCACTCGGCCCGGCCCATGCGTCCTAAGCAGGACCGTGAGGCGGACGGGCTGAGGGGCTCGCCTTCCCCTCTCCAGACCTCTCCCATAGGAAGCAGGGTTTCTCATCACTGGATGGTGGAGGGTCACACCAAGAAACACCAGTGAGTCCCGGAGCCTGCATCCTGCACCCCCGCCGCCCGAGCCTCACCAACCCTTCATCGGCACCAGGGACGGAGCAACTCAAACCCTCCTGTGCCCCAAAATATTCTCTCTGCAGTATACAGGTTCTTAAGCATTTACCCTCTAAATGCCTTGCCGGAGGAACTACAAGGACAGAACAAGAAATCACCATTGCATACTATCCACAGGCAGGACAATCCAGCCTCCCACACTCTGGGCCTGTGCAGTCTGCTCCACTTGAACAACCCCATTTCCTCCTCTGATCAAGACCGCAAAGCAGATGCTGATGTGGTCTCCATTTTCCAGATGAACACGCTCTGCCCGGGCCACATGACTACCATGTGGGAGACCTGTGCCCTGAATCCTTGTCTGGGTCCACAGTCTACCCTCCCATGTAAGACAACAATGACAAAGGACATGCCCCTGTCACCCAGCCAGGACACACCAGGGAGGCCGCATGGGCCCAACGGTCAAGGCTGTGCCTTTGTCAGGCTCACAGTCTGTTACTAGAGAACACAGATGCTGGCGTATGCACCATCCATTGCCCAAGCAACCCAGGGCAGTGTCTGCTGTCTGGCACCTCTGAGAACACGGAGCTTGTGGCTCACTCCTGAGGGGCTCTGCTGGTTGCTGGCCTCATGCAGCTGGGGCCAGACGGCTGAGGATCCTGGGATCACCAAGGCCCTTGGGCACAGCAACCCCACATGGGTGGTGGGGTAGAGACCTGGGATGGAGCCCCTCCACTCAGCTCTGCCCCTCAGCAATGCACAAGGCTCTCTGGCCCTCAGTCCCTTCCCTGACCTTTCATATGGAAGGACAGACAGACTGTCACACTGCAACCTTACCACAGACTATCACGCTGCAACTCCCCCTAAGGCCAGGGTGATGGGGTTTTCCTTACATTTTCTGACACACATGGTCCCTTCACATTCAGAGACACGCATGGACCGATGGCTCCTGCGACCTTCAGCTCCCGAGAGGTCTGAAACGGATCACAGCAGAGCACAGGTTAGAGATGGATGAGGGGATGTGGACCAGGGCAGTGGCCGCCTGGGCCACAGTGCTACTCCTCACACCAGCCGACCTCCAACCCTGACTGGACTAAAGCCGGTGGAGCAGGGCCTGCGGGAACCAGCAACCCTAGGCCTTTTGTCTGAACAACATTTCCATGCCTGTGTCCAGCACGTTGTGGTCACCAGTGGTCTGACCACAGGACTCAGGACAACTCTCCCACTCCATGAACACTTAGGGTCTATCGTACCTTTACTTCCAAAGTAGCGCCAAACGCCATTCGGAAATCTCCATTAAAATCTTTGCTAAAAATTCTTTGGAAGGTCTGCTTGAAGAGGGAGGTGTTGAAAGAGTCTCCCATCACCATGTGGCCTCTGGGTGAGAAGACAGACAAAGAAAGTGAGCAGGAGGACCAGTGGAAGCCATCAATCATCTAAAGAAACAGGAAAAGCTGGTGTTATGGGTTAAGTATAAGGCCCTGCCTGGAGAGCTGGAGCCCCAGTGCAGCCATGTCCAGAGGTGGGGCCTAGGGAGCAGACGGGGCCCTGGAGGGTGCAGCACTCATCAGTGATCCATCCATTCCTGAGCTCCGCTGGCCTGGCTGCCAGCAGGCACGGGTCACGGGGGGGTGAGCCTCTGAAGGGTACATGGGGCCCCCGGCCCCTTCCTCTCCCGTCTCTACTTCCTAGTGGCCAGGAGGTGAGCAGCTCTGCTTCCCCAGACCTTTCTGCCAGGAATTTCTGCCTTGGTGTGGGCCAGCCAACCATGACCAAAGCCTCTGAGAGGCAGTCAAAAGAGGGAGCTGGTGACACGGAGGAAAATCCAGCTCAAACTCAGTTTGTCCTACTTCTGTCCCCAAAGAAAAGTGCAGGGATTCTTTTTTTCCTACCAGCAAGCAAGCAGTGGACACCTAATAGCTGGGAGTCTCTATTTTAAATCAATTCTGACTCCGCCTACCTCTCTTGCGTCTTTGGTAAGGGAAAATAGCCAGGTCAGTGGGGAAAGCTTCTCAAGGGGGTCCACTGGCTCAAACTCTGAATTTTTAACTTCATGAATGCTCCAAGTCGGGAAGTCCCGGAGGCCCGGCACAAGCTGATCACTTCCCTCAGGCACCCCCAGCAGTGCCGGGCCCTCACCCATCACTAATGTGTCAGCTGCTCTCCCAGACAGTGTCAAGTGACTGGGCTCCACCTCCTCCCCTCCTCGGTGGGGACCAGAAGCTAAAATGCAGACTCACGCCCAGCCACGGCTCTGGGCCGGCCCTTCTCAAACTGCTTCAGGCCGAGCCGCTTGAGAGCTTTAGCAAAGAGCTCTGCATTTCTAACAAGCTGCAGAAGAGGCTGATGTGTGTGGTGGCCAAACTCTGCCCCATGTTACAGTCCCTCAAGGAACTTTAAAAAACGCTGGTGCCCAGGCCAAGTCAGATGCTGTCTAAATCACAGAATGGGGTGCGGGTAGTGTGAGACTCAAAGCAAGAGCAGCTTGACCCAGTTTCTCAGGTGTTGGGCATAGTGGTACATGCTTGTAATCCCGGAACAATGGAGGCTGAGGCAGGAGGATTGCTGCCAGTCCAAGGCCAGCCTGGGCTACATACTGTGTTCAAAGCCAGCCTGAACTACATAGCAAGACCTTGTCTCAAAAAAAGTTCCTCAGGTGACTCTAGTATGTAGCCAGCTTCAGATCAGTGCTTCACATCAGCAGTTCTTCTATTCTCCTGGGCATCCCAATCTCTGAAGAGCTGAGACTGCAATCTCTGACTCCAGGCCCGGGTAAGTCATGAGAAGTACATTCCCAGTCAGTTCCCAGGGTCTCTAAGGATGCGGGTGCAGGTGACACACATGCTAAGGGCTCTGCTTGGCACACTGCCCTACAGTGTACCACACTGAGTCGTGAAGTCTCCCAGTCAGAGGACCGTACATGCTGGCCACACACTCAGGATTAGTTATAAAGTATGGAGGCTTGGCCAGTCAAGTTTCTCCTAATTACCAGGTATGATGGCACACACCTGTAGTCCCAACACTCGGGAGGCTGAGGCAAGAGGATCGCTGTGAGTTTAAGGCCAGCCTGGGCTACATAGTGAGTTCAGGCCAGGCTGAACTGCATAGTGAGACCTTATATCAAAAAAGCAAAACAAAACAAAAAAAGTTTCTCTTAACCACTTCAGGATTCAGAACCTGTTATTCCCCTTTCTCAAAAAGAAATGCCTGACCAAGGCCCAATACCTCATGCTGGACTGCTTGGCCTGGTCTGCGCTTTGGCCTAAGGACTCTAAGGAAGAAGCGAAGTTACAGCGGTCTGACCTGTCTGCAGTGAACCCATGACCTCTTGCTCATCCCTGCTTTTTCCTCCATGGGGCCTCGGCGCCCAGGCACCAAGCTCTCTGAAAGCTCACCCATTCCTGTGGCTCTGGCAGCACTCGTTCTTAAAATAATGCCCTTTTGGGCTCGGGGTGCAGCTCAGCAGTAGCACACCCACCTAGACATATGAAGCCCTGAGTTCAACCCCCAGCACTGCAAATAAAACTCTCTTCCCAGGTGCCCACTCAACTTACCCAGTAAGATTTGTACAACACTTCATCTCCAAAAGTCCAGTCTGGTCAAGGGCACAAGCATAAATGTCAATGCAGTGACCATTCGCGGCCGTTCGTTGGGCAAGCATCTCATAGTGCTGTGGAGAGGAGGAGGATCGTCTCAGCCAAGAGCCTCGAGGCACCTCAGCAGAGCAGCCGTGCTCCAGCAGCCCGCACCTTGCCCTGGGGTGCCGCAGGGGCAGCCCGAACCCAGACCCACCTTCGTTGCCTTTTTCATGAACCGCGCGTTATCCTTCTCAATGTCATGCCAGGAACGAATGGGAACCTTTAACTCGTCTCCGACCACCATGCCGGGCCCCTGCGTGGGGGGCCCGCCAGTGAACAGCATGATCCTGGCTCCCGTGTTTGGAAAAGTCCCCTGCAACAGTAAACAGCAGCGCATCAGATGCGAACAGCCCCGCTTCCAAGGGCAGTTCCATCTTCCCTGGAGAAATACTCCGAAGACGACCTGTTCGAAGCTGTTCTTGGGTGTGTGCTGGGCACAGTGCCCAGGCTCTCCTCCGCTCTTAACACCAAGAATACTGCAGAATTGTGCAGGCGAGGGTGCAGAAAAGCAGCACTTGTTTTCTCCCAATCTGAAGGCTTCATACATTTTATTGATTTACTGTGAGCACCTGTCATTGCTCAAATTCACTTTTTTCATGAAAACTTTTGCCATTTTCAAAATACTGTGGGGCCCTCTCACTGTGAATAACAACTGAAGCACTTTCTGATACACAGCACAGTGGGACAGCCTAGGTCACGCAAGAGTTTTAGAAAGAGCCAATACATCAGTTTCTAGGAGCAAGCTGGGGTGGCCGCCCATAAATCCTGGATTACCTCAAGCAAGCCGACAGCAATGGACAATGCGACCCCCGTGGATCGCAGAGGCCTCTTTCCCTGAGTGACTGGCCACGGGTCCCTTTGCAGCTCCCCGAGGAGATCCGTGAGGGTCATGTCGATCTTGTGAATGGGCTGCAGAAACCTGCGCGGTTTGGGGCGGACACACCAACAGTGGCTTAATAAAGTACTCTGATTTGCGACTCTCGCTCACACATAGTAAGTGTTCTACAAGATAATTATTCAGAAGAGAAAAACGTACAACTTTTCAAGTTTTCTCTGACTATAGGTCCAAATAATTCAGGGCAATTTTGGGAAAATTTATTCACTCATTAATCATCTGACTGAAGGGAAGAATCTCACAGCTTAGCCCAACCTGGCTCTGAACTGTGCTATGGTGCCCAGGCTGGCCTTGAACTCAATCTTCCCGCCTCGGCAGCCTGGGCGATAGGATTATAGGCATATGTCATCACACCTGGCCAAGGAATACAATTTAAATCAATAATTGGCAATTTATACATGTAGCATGGGAAAAAAAAGCCAATTCGAAGACGGACAAATTGGTTTAGTTAAATTTTAAGCAGCAAAGGAATCCTAAGGAGACGCCCCATGGGAGTTCAGTCCACAGAAGGTCCATCTCCGTGCTTCCCCTGAGACTTAGATGTGATCCTGGAAGTAACGCTGGTTTCCGACCAGAGCCAGAGGACACCCCCAGCATGGCAGGTGATGCTGCAGAAGAGCAGAACTTGTTTTCTTGGTCTGACCTGTCTGTAGTGAACCCTTGAGCTCTTGCTCGTCCCTGCTTTTTCCTCCATGGGGCCTCGGCGCCCAGGCACCAGGCTCTCTGAAAGCTCACCCATTCCTGTGGCTCTGGTAGCACTCCTTCTCCTTAAAATAATGCTCTTTTGCCTGATATTAACTCAGCCCAGAGGAGACTTAGGCCATCAATGGTCTGAATGCAATCAGTACCTGCTTCTTGTAAGTTTGCTTGAGATCACCACAAAGAGGAATTTTCAGTTCTAGTTTTATGGAAGGATCAAAAAAGACAACAAAGCTTGTTGTGGTGGCGCATGCCTATAATCCCAGCACTCAGGAGGCCAAGGCAGGAAGACTGCCGCAAGTTCAAAGCCACCCTGGGCTACACAATGAGTGAGATCAAGGCCACCCTGAACTACCTAGAGACCCTGTCTCAAGAAACAAAAACAGAAAAGACAGTGACAAGTTGGAGTGGTAGCACATGCTTGTAATCCATTACTCCGGGAGGCTGAGGGAGGAGGAGTGCAAGTTTGAGTCCAGCCTGGGCAACAGACCCACTCAGCAAGACTGTGTCAAAATAAAAATTAAAAAAAGACCTAGAGTCAAAGCTTACTGTGAAGGCCCTGGGTTCAATCCCCAATACTGTAAAAAATAAAAACAAAAATCCAGCCATGTGTCCACAAGGAACATATTTGAGTACAAGTCGCAAAAGCATTGTGATGAAACACCAGACACTGACCAGGCCCAGCACCGCTCTTCCCCTCCCCTGGCTTGCTCCAAGCCCACTGCAGTATACGTAATGTCAGCCTCGTCTCTCACCTGCTGGAGACAAAAGGGTGCTCCTGAGGCTGCACAGGTCTCGCTTGCTGCATGGGCATGGCTGGCTTGGACAGGCCCAGCATATCCTAAAACACAAAAGAACTTCGTTTCCTGAACAGGAAAAGTTACCGACTGGTTACACTGTTAAGAAATATCCTTGTTCCTAGTTCTGTAAGTACAAAGCACAAACCTGAATTTGCTTTGCAGTTAAATCCTTGGTCCCGCGGAAGACGTAACTTTTGGAGATTCCTTCACAGCTCAGCTCATGAACCTGCACCATCCTGCCGAAAGTGATGAGGCCCACCAGGGCCTCTGGAGGCAGGAGGCTCAGGGACATCTGCAGGGACTCTTTGAGGGCCTGGAGGTCATCTTCCTCCAGGCATGTGTCCACCACGTAGAGGAAGATCAGAGGGGACTGAGGACCTCGCTTTGGGCAAAGGAAAAAGCACGATGATCAGTACACGAACATTACGCAGAACTGGCTGCTTTTAAAGCAAATCAGATACAAAACAGCAAGCTTCACCTACACTTACTGTCAAGGGAAAAGAACGTAAGGAAATCTACATAAACCTCTGCTTAGCTCAAGGGACTCAGATTCTTCTAAAACACACTAAGCATCAAAACCACTGTATCCAACAGTTTGTTCAGCATCTCTAAACACTATATTCCACCCTGTGCCAGGGCCTGGGAATGCATCAGCAAACAGAAAGACACAGAGCCCTGCCTGACTCAAGAAGCGAGTTTTCCGGGGAATTTCCAGGGAAATTGTGAGGACAGTGACTGCCGTGAACGTGAGGGAGCAGGTTCGTGTATCAGAGAAGATGCAGCAGCCCCAGCAAGAGTCATGGTGGAGCAAAACCCTAGGGCTGGAGAGGGAGGGCGCAGTACACATGCAGAGAAAGGGTTCCGGCCCAAGGAGAAGGCCAGCACCAAGGCCACTTGGCGAGGAGGCGCCCACCGCCCTGAGCAAGGCACCCGTGAAAACAGGTTGGAGCGGTCACTCGGCACCAAGAGACTAGGGTTCCGCTCTGGGTGAGAAGGGGTGCCGTCCCACCACTGGAGGTTTCTGAACAGAGAAGTAACGCATGTTCTTCTTTTAATATTGTAATTTTTATTATATAACAAATCCATTTCATTTTAGGATGAAAATACAGAAAATGCAGATAAGCAAAAAAAAATATGAGGGACAGGAAGAAAAGTTAAATTACCTCTTCCCGTTAATTTTGTAGGCACAAGCAGTTTTAATATTTGTGTGCCATTTTAAACAACTAAAGACACATACTGTTTGTTTGTTTTGCTCTTTTGAAACAGGGCTTCACTAGGTATGTTAGGCTGGACTTGAACTCACTATGCAGCCCAGGCTGGCCTTGAAGTCCCAAGTACCGGGATTACAGGCATGAACCACCACACTGGGCCACACATATTTTCAAGGAGTTAAATTTTAAGAATAAAATACACAGCTGGGTAAGGTGGCACATGCCTGGTATCTCAGCACTCAGGAGGATGAGGCCAGACTGGACTACATGGTGAGACCCTGCCTCAAAAAAACGAAGAATAAAACACAAATAGCAGAGCCAGGTATGTGGCTCAGAGGTACAGTACTTACCTGGCAAGCACAAGGCCCTGGGTTCAATCCCCAGTATGCAAAAAACAAAGTCAAATAATAAAATACAAATAGTAATGTTAAAAGAAATGAGAGCAGTTAGCAGACTGGTAAAGTAATAAGTGACAGTTGTGGCTGGCCCAGGGCAGTGGAGAGAGAAAGGATAGATTCCAAGTAAATTTTAAATACTGAGGCCATGGGGTACTCCACCAGATTAGACTTGGGGTGTGACAGGGAGAGGCCCAGGACAAGTCTAAATCTTTTAAACTGAACTAAACTAGAAGATGGAGTTGGATCAACTAAGACAAACACAACGCGGCTGCAGAGGACAGGTTTGGAGTTTAGTTAGTTCCACCTTTTACCTTTTCCTGTCAAGTCCTGAAAACACTGCCAAATATTTATACCCCCAACTTCACGTGTAAGACCTGCTGTCCTCACAGCTTTTAGCCCCTGGACAGGGAAGGGCTGCAGACTTCAACAGATCTCAAGAGAAAATCAATTTTTAACACTGGTAAACACAAGATGGAGAAGTTACCTGTACCACGTACTCAATTGTAGAGAACTGGGGCATGAGCTCGGCAGGCTGGTTCACCTCGGATATGCCTGCGTACGCCGGCGGGAACTGTGAAGAGAATGCGGAACAATACTCTGTGCAAGTGAAGGTGCTCGAGTCACACCTGTTATTTCCACTGAGGAAATGGCCACGACCACTGCTGATTCTGAACATGCGATCAGAACCCATCTAAGCACTGCTGGGCAGATTAAAGGCTGAGATTTACCTGCCTCACCCACAGTCTGCATAGAAGATGAAAGCCTTTAGTTAGGTTAATTATTTTGGTTATTATCAATAAGTTAATATGTTCAGTGCAGAGAAACTGGCAAGTTCAGGAAAAGAAAACATAAAGAAAAAAAATCTTCTTGCTTACAGGCAGCTACTGTGAACATCTTGGCATACTTCCCTCTGGACATTTTCTCCTTCAGTTGCGATCGCTCTCTACACACAATTTTGGAAATGCTTTTTGTACTTAACACAGTGGCATAGACATTTTCTTTTTAACCCATGGAAGCATTTCAGAGTCATAGTTTGTAGGCTGATTTTAATCCTAATACTTCTTAGCTTTAGATGAAGGACAAAGGTGTAGTGTCTCCCCCACAAGTTCACAGGGGCTCACTGCAGGCCAGTGAGCTCTGAGGGACTAAATGGAAGTCTTGCCCAGCAGACGACAGGCAGCTGCAGGGGGCAGGGCCAGGAGGGAGAGGACAACTAGCATCAAGCAGGACCCTGGAGGGGTCCTGTCAGCAGGAGGTGTCGGGCTCAGGTAAACACAGCGCCGAGCGGAATTAGGTTCCTTCTCATAGCGGCCCAGACAAGTACACACAACACTGTCATCTTAACTTTCAAGATGAGGGAACAAACAGAAAGACAGTGACTCACCCAAACTTACACTGGAAGTAAATAATAAATCTGAAAATCAAACCTAACACTCTGGATACAGCAGTCCTGGCTTTTAACCAGCAAGCAAGCCTGCCTTACAATTTTATGATAAATTACATTAAACACTGACACCAATTCTGATTGTAGTAAGATGCAAACTTTTTTTTTTTTTTTTTTACCTTTTTGCGGGAAGGAGTTATTTTGTTTTGCTTCTGATACAGTCTCACTATGCAGTTCAGGCTGGCCTGGAACTTGTGGTGATCCTTCTGCTTTAGCCTCCCAAGTGCTAGGATTATAGACATGTACCACCACACTCAACTGTTTTTCATTTTTCATTTAATTTATTTGTGGAACTGAAGATTGAAAACAGGGCCTCCTTGTTAGGCAAGTGCTCTAAAACTGAGCTACATGCCCAGCCTTTTTTAGTTTCTGAGATAGGGTGTTTTTAAATTGCCCAGGACAGCTTCCAACTCAGGATCCTCCTGCCTCAGCCTCCCAAATAGCTGGAATTATGGGTATGTAGAACTGTGCCTGGTGGCTGGAAGTTTTTTAAAAATCAGAAATGAATGTTGAATTCTGTCAAATGCTAGAACATCTTTCTTTTTTTGTTTTTTTTTTTCCGGTACTGGGAATTGAATTCACGACCTTGCGCTTGCCAGGCAGGCAGTGTGCAGCTGAGCTAAATCCCCAGCCCCTAGAACATGTTTCACAGTAAAAGATTAGGCACGTTCCATTTCCAGCTACTAAGAAAAAGAGACAATGCCTGATAGAGCTTCCTCTCCTTCTCTCTCTCTTTCCTGTTACTATAGTGAATTATACTGATTTTGAACTGTTCTGGCAAGTTTCATTGTTTTACAGCCTCATGCGGTTTTAGTCTCTCCACACATATGAAGCCAGGATGTACTGGCCTGTGGGAAGGACCTGGCCCAGATATAGGCCAACAGGGTCACATTCAGTTTACCCCCTCCTTCTCCTTCTCCAGGCAGGGTCTCTTTTCATTCTTCCTGCCTCCCAGTGAGGAGTGTGGCACCTCAGGCAAGAACCAGACACTCCACTAAGACCTGAATCAAAGTACAAAAGAACTGCTTGCCGGCCACTGCCTGCCCCTCCAAACCACAGGGCTTCACAGCTTCTGTTTTGTTTTGAGACAAGGTCTCACTATGTAGCCTAGGCTGGCCTTGAACTCCTGCCTCAGCCTCTCGAGTGCTATGATCATGCGTGCAGCACCACGCCTGGCTAGGTGCAAACCTGTATATACTTTTACCCCCCTGAACTTAGGGATACCCTACCAATGAGTTACATAAACCAGTTTTTTAAAATTTTGAGAGGGTCTCACTAAGTCTGAGTCACCCAGGCGGACCTCCTCCTGCCTCAGCCTCCTAGGTTGCTAAGATTATAGACATGTGCCACCATGCTCAGCTATATGTACTTCTGAATCTGCCAGAGAGAAAATTTTACTTTTTACCCGTGCTGAGGCTCAAATTTAGGCCCTCATTCACGCTAGGCATGTGCTTTCCCATAAGCTACCTGCCCAGCCCCTTATGGAGCTAAATCCTGAGTAGAACCTTCTAGTTTCTGAATCTGTAGTAAGTCATCAACTGTTTACTGTTCATCACTGTCTTTATGTGCTATATCTGAGAATGCGATTAATTAAAATAAATGATTAAACACATGAATAAATAAATACATCCTATTAATAGCTTAAGAGCTGCTAGAACAGTGTACATGCTGGTGTGATTAATTTTCTCTAACAATTGTACTTAGGTATAATTTATAGACCATAAAATTCACCCAATTTAAGTGATGATTTTTAGTAAATGAATTGTATGATAATCACCCCAATCCAGTTATGGGACATTCCCAGCACAGACAGTTATAAAGAAAAGCCATGGCCTGGGGTGTAACTTAATAGTAGAGCATGTGCTTAATATGTGCAAAGACCCATGTTGGATCCCCAGCACCAAAAACAAAAAGAGAGAGAAGTCGCTTTGTCATGTGAAGTTCTCTGAGTTTTTCAATTCTATAAATCAGACTAAGCTCAACACTGACACTTATACTTGGATCCTAAAGTTAGACAGATCAAAAAGGAAAATTGACATCCAACATCCAATTAGAATGTACTGCAGTCAAGTGAAATATGAACTGACCTATTTTCTCCACTTCCTACAGAAAACGTTCAAGAAGAGAACTCCACAGGTCTCCACAACAAATGGCCAGGCCCCACACAATGAAGCCATGCAACAGAAAAATCCCACGTGTTCCGTGCGCAATATTGTGCTTAATCAAGCCATTGTTTGGAGTCAGCAGAAACTGCTGCCCACCAGCATGGGCAGAAATTCACATTCACAGCATTTTTTTTCACAGGACAGCTAAAATATAACATATAACCTATTTTTAAAAGTAAGTCACATACCTGGTTTCTTTGGAAACAGAAATTACAAGCCCAAAGTTTTGCTTGATAATCAACCTGACTGTAAGAAAGAAAAATTCCATCAGAATGTGCCATCCTTACTTTTAAGCATTCAAATGTAAATTTGAAGGTCAACAAATCACAGACATGTGCTTGTATATGTGTGCACAAAGATAAAAGCTCACAAAATTTCACTGGAAATAGAATTCTAGCTGATTAAGTATACCAACAATTTCCATCAAAGGCTGCAATGAGAAATGAGTAAATCTTTTTTTTTTTTTGAGACAAGGTCTCACTATGTAGTTCAGGCTGGCCTTGAACTCACAGCAATACTCCTGCCTCAGCCTCCCAAAGTGCTGAGATTACAGGCCGTGTGCCACCAAGCCTAGCTTTTTTTCTCTCTTCTAATCCCCTAGATAATTTTTAAATGTCTTCACTAGAGTACATGAATAAACTAAAAAATATTCCCTCACTTTGGCACTCCCCACCTGTTTCAAAATTATTTCAGCAGGGTATGGTGGTGTACTCCTGCAGTCCCAGCTACTCAGGAGGTTGAGACAGAAGGAGTACTTGGGCCTACAAGTTCAAGATGACGCTAAGCAACATAGTAAGACTCTCATCTCAAAAAATAAATTAATTTTTTTTAAAAAGTCTTTCAAATAATACCCATATGTATGAAAAACACTATAGGTCACTATGTCAGATACCAAAAAATTACACTAACAGTAAAATTACTGAGTAAAATTTTTTTCTGTCTACTATTTCTGCCCAGACAGGATCGCCACACCAGGGAAAGTGTGAAAATACATCCTCAAGTTTTTGAATGCTCTTAGAAAATCCTTTAGAAGACACCCCATGAAGTCTACAGCTAATCCAAAAGCGAAGTGATAATTAGCAAAATCAGTGACTTTCAAATCTTCCCCCTCTACCTCTGCCCCTCATTCCTGTACAATTCTAATTTTATCTGGAGTGTGAGGCCAGGGAGGTTTCTATGAGCACACATCCCCATACGAAACTCATCATCAATTACTACTTATCTCAAATTGGACAACTTGCCCGAACTGAATGACGTGTATGAGAAGTGCATAAAGATGGTAACTTGCTATTTGCATCACTTTAATGTTTTTAGAAGAATTCATACCAAAGCGGATTGAGGACAGCTTTGCAGGTGGGCCTGCTGCAAAACACAGGTTCATACTGTACAGGAGGCAGGTCCGGACGTTCCTTCAAAGGAGTGAGCAGACAGGCCAGCGGGACCACCATTCGCGTGGCCTCCAGACGGCTGGATGGCCACAAATTCCAACTGAAGCGCACACCATCACGTTCTTCATTCTGCTGAATGAACTCCAGATAGGTCGTCATCGTCTAAAAAGGAACTAAAGAAAATGCTTTAGTTGTATCTGAAGATCTCATCTAAACCCCGAAAAAGAAGGTGGTCTTGGAACACAGTGTTTCTTAAACACCGAATTGGGTAAGACAGCAGCATCTACCTTTCCCTTGACCCCAAAGTCAATTAGTCCACACGTGTCTTTTACTACTGCTCCTTTCTCAACCCTTCTCTCTAGCACTTAAAAAAAATACAATGGGAAGTTTACAGTGATTCAACCATCCCTAATGCCATGGGACTGACTACTACTTTAAGCCTCCTCACAGATCACACATCTGCTCAGACAAGGCAATTTCAACCCTCTGCCCCAGGGGAAGTCTTGAATCCTGTTTCTGCACCTATCTTCCTCTCTGATACCCTTTCTTCCTTCCTTACTCAACTAAGGTAAACACTGTAGTAAACATTAGGTTCCAAGTAATCATGGTTTTTTGGTGTCCTTTCCCCTCCCCATTTTGTTAACTGTGGAGAAAAGAAGTAGATACCGATCTGAGAGTCCAGTTCATTATGAGAACCAGTTCTGACCTTGTCTTTCTACTTTTATTACCAAAAACACAGAGGAAAGTTTGTTATTATGCCAAGTCTTGCCTGGACCTCTTTCCTCACTATGGTTGCTTGTGCTCCTGTCTTGAAAGATTCTCATCAATAAAAGTCCTCAAACTAAGCTTTCAAACCAAATGATCCCCAATTATTCACACCTCTTATATATGCCCTAAAATTTAAGGTTACAACATCCCAACAATTGGGATTCAAGGGAAAAAGCCTCTCAAGAAAAGCAGAGAAAAAACAAATATAAAAATCCATGATAACCGTGGAATCAGCCTATATGTCCATTAACCATGAATAGATAAAGAAAATGTGGTATTTATACACAATGGAGTACTACTCTGCCATAAAAAGGTTAAACTTGAGTCATTTGTAGGCAAATGGATGCACCTTGAGACTATAATGTTCAGTGAAATAAATTAGACACACAAGCCCAAAAACTGTATGGTTTTAGCCAGGTGCAGTGGCACATGCCTGTAATCCCAGCACTTCAGAGGCTGAGGCAGGAGGATTACTTTATAGCCTGGGCTATAAAGTAAGCTCAAGGCCAGCCTGCACAGTGAGACCCTGTCACAAAAAAAAAAGACACACAAAAAGAATTGTATGGTTTTGCTTATATGAGAAACCCAAAGTATATATAAATCAAAGAGTAAAATAAAAGATAACAGAAATAGAGACACAGATCTTTTTGGAAATTCAAAGAGGAGTAAGAAATGGAGGAGGAGAAAAGAAGGGGATATAATAGAAATCAGATGTGTCCCATACACGTACCAACTTCCCATAATGGATGCACTCATGATGTAGCACAAGCATGTACTAATAAAATGAAAATCTGTCATCCTAAGGCGACCACCGTGCCCACTTCACACAGTTCTGGGTAACAACTGTCTCCATGTTAATGTTGAGAAGTGGATTAAGGCAATGGTATAACCTGGCTAGAAAAGCAATCATTTATACTACTACATAGGACCCACGCAACAAAAATTCCAAATGTGTGGTCCAACTCTAACACGTATCTGTTATACCTAGCAAGAGCACGAACCTGAAGCATTGCATACAAAGAGACTTCTGCAGCTTCCTGGCGAATTCAAGGATACACTGGGTGGAAATTAGAGCAGGTTCTAATGCCACAATTTTCAGCAAGTATTACATGATTACTCCTCTCCTTAAAGGGCTAGTTCTTAATTATCTACATATTAAAACCTGTTTCCTCCTTACTGCCACCTTCTCTCACTCATGCAGACCACTGATTCTTAATCATGGACACACAATAAAAACTTATTGAGGGTTCACGAATCCTCTGAAGCTGCATGCAAAACTGACTGTAGAAGAGAATGTTCCTCTTTCTAGGGAGATGAGTCCGTGGCTTTTACCAAATTTTCCAACAGTAAGGGTATCTGAGAGGTCGATAGCTGAATGAAGGAACTGGTGAGTGAATGAAATGCCTGGACAGACGCTGCTGGGACATCCAAGGAGAAATCTGAACCATTCTTATCTCGCTAAGACATAACTTTCAGGACACGGAGAACCAGCTTCGACAAGATTTAATCCTCGTCGGGAGTCTGAGACAGGGCTCTGCTTCCACCTGTCACAAAACAAACCTTTGGCACATTTCAATTACAAAATAGGGGTGGGTCCTTCCGGCTGGAGTCTGGGAAGTCAGAACCCGGTCCTCGACCACCTGTCGTGGTGTAGGACGCTTCTCTTTCGCAGACTCCTGGGTCATCAATTCCCTCCGGCTCCCCTGCCAGCCAGGAAAAGGGCTCATCCTAGAAGCAGCCCACCACTCCCCGGCATTTGGTTCTCAGCCCTCTGTCGCCCGTGGTCGCCGTTCACCTAGCCGGTGCCTCTCACCTGTCCCGAGCCGTACGAGCCCACAGCGGCAAAAGTCCAGCTCCAGCTCCGGATCCCGCTCCGGCTCCCTCCAAGTCCAGCTCAGCTCTCAGTCAATTGGTCAGTGCTCCATTATGTCACTCTATGGAGAAGTATATTAGCCAATCACAGAGCGCATCCGGGCAGAAGAGCGGAAGTGACACATTCAGCGAAGCCACGCTGCCATATTGGAACAGGGCAGGACAGTACTACCTCGCACTTCAGAACTACTTTCTCAGAACGTACACTTCCCTGAATCTACCTCTGAAGGTTTTAGCTTCGGAAAACCTCAGCGCCTGCCAGGCCGCTCTCTAGATATAGTTAACACTCCTGAAGGGATCGCCCTTATACATTATGACGTCAGTTTGCGTCAATGGGAAGGCCCTCCGCATCACCTTAGATACCAGGAAGCTAGAACGATGACGTGTAACCCTGGTAGTAGGAGCGGCGCCGCCGGGGGAAGCGGAGGCTGCCGGGAAGAGAGCGTCAGCGTGCGGAAGGGGCGGGAGGAGGGTGTGTCCGGGGACGCATGCGTACTTGCTAATGGGCCCTGTCTTCTTGTCTAGAGAAGGTTAAGCACCACAAATCTAGTTCAACTTCACAGGACAAGATTCCCTATTCTCACTTGCTGTAGCGGCTTTCCACGGAGATCAGCACTAGCGCGGTCTCTCTACGTGACTGTCCCTGTCATCCTTAAACAAGGGGATGAGTAATTGAGAACTGTCGCTTTCGTACAGCTTTCCACACGTTCTAAGAGGCAAACACCAGCAATTCACCGCTAAGGATGTAACCATCCGTCCTGCAAACATGGTCGAACAAAAATAAAACTGAAGGAAACCAGCTTGGTAGAGTTACTCGGACAGAGAGACCTTCTGTAGCATATAAAACCAAGAAATACGATACGAGGTGTGATGGGAAGGCGCGGTTGACGACTCGGTTTGAAACGTACTGCAATAAGAGACATCGCCACCGGTCGCTCTCTACGCCCTTCCCGCCCCGTCCAACCCGCGCAGCCTCGTCCTGCCCGCTGCCCCGGAAGTCCTGGAGCCCAAGGAGCGCTCATGGCTGCGCCTCGCAAGGCGGTGATCGTCCCCGGGAACGGAGGCGGGGACGTGGCCACCCACGGCTGGTACGGCTGGGTGAAGAGGGCGCTGGAGCAGGTAGGAGACGAGGCCTCCCGGGGTGAGCCGTGTGCGCCTCTCCTGTCCTCCCGCGGCTTTCTCAAACCCTGGGACTCGGGGCTCAGATTCTGGCTGGCAAAACTTCCGAGAAGGCTTTTCTGAGGGCGCGGTTTTTAGAGTGAAAGAACCACTTAGGATTACAGAGAACGGCTGCTGCCTGTTTGATTTAGGGTTTCCCAATTTCATGTATTTAATGCTTACTGCTCCCGATTTTTAAAGAGATTCTATGTGTCATACTTAGTATATACATATACAAAGCATGAATGCAGCACGTAAGTATAAACCGAAGAACATGGAAACTTCTAGTAAGGATAATGCAGTGAATCAAGAAAACATCCTGATATTTTTCCTTTGCTTGTCTTAAAACTCCTTTTTACAACCCATGTGTATACCTTGTAAACAATGCATTGTTTAATTTGGCTATGAGCTTTATGAGCATGATACCCTATTACAGGTTGTTTTGTGCCCCTAGATTTTGTCTAAAATCTCTTTTCCATATTCCGGCAGTTAGAGTGCTTCCTGGGTTAGCCCTAGAAGAGAACTTCAGCAGAGTAATACATCCAATCTAGTAAATAAATGCATAGAATAGGCCTCTGCAATAGAATTTCAGCGTGTGGGCTGAAGACCACAGGCAGAGCCTCAATCTAAAAGGTCCGTTCTGGGGCTGGGGGGCAGGGGTGCCCAGATTTCTGTACCAGGCTTCTGTGCCAAGGTTCGTTAACTCCCTGGGGCACAGTGGGCTTGGTTCCAAGTCAGCTCAGTCTGTCCAGCACACTTTCCCTTATGCCTTCTCTACAGATGTATGCATTAGACATAGACACAGATGAGCAAACACATGCAGAGTTCTCTGTAGAGATCTACCGAGCTGACTAGATAAGGAAATACATGCAGCTGGGGTTTATAAAGAGAGATGGTATATTCATGTGAATCCTGGAGCATTTACTTAACCCACTTCATTTCATAATACAAGCAAGCACTTATGCAGTTAATAAAGATCATATCAGGTGTCACTTTTCATACTAGTAAAGTATTAATTGCAATTAAGCTCTTTATTACAGCTTTTTTCCCTCTTTTTTCCTACAGATACCTGGTTTCCAGTGTTTGGCTAAAAACATGCCTGACCCAAGTACGTTTTAAACTTGTTTTTCTTTGATTGTATTTATTATAATTTTTGAGACAGGGTCTCACTAGGTAGTCCAGGCTAACCTCAAACTTGGAGCAATCCTCCTGCCTCAGCCTCCTGAGTGCTGGGATTACAGACATGTGTCACCATAATGGGCCTTAAACTTGTTTTTAAATGGCCTCAGTTTGTTGGGTTTTGATCTCACCACTTTGCGGGGCAGGGTAGAGAACAGGAATATCATAGTAGATAATGAATGAGGTAAATAGCTTTGGGAGGAGGGTAAACCAAAACACATGGAAAATACTAGTAAGGATCAAGAAAAACACCTGGGCTTGGTAAAATTTAATTTTAAACTTTGTTAGCAACTTAATTTTCTCTTCTAGAAGTGGACTTTTCAGGCAAAACCTGTGGCTGTCCTAGTTCAGGCAGAGATCTAACTTTACACTCTGAGACCCTCATATTTTAAAAATGTGCTAGTGTTCCTTTTGTTCTAGGTATGCTTGTGACTTGTCTCTAGAAAGAACATATAGATACATATATTTTAGAATATTGTCAAGTTTTTAAGTTTGAAAGTTTATGTTAAAACTTCTGAAATATATTTTTATTTCCTCAATATTTTTAAAACAAGAACATGAAAAACAAAAGGCAGAAGTATTTACTCAAACTATAGATTTAGGTCTTTCAAATGGCAACATATAAAGCTGAAGTTCCATCAAAACAGCCTCAACCCCCAGCCAACTGTGCAGTTTAAAAGCATTAGGCTGTGCACCCGCAGTCAGTGTCTGTTAGAAGGTGGGGTCACATTAGGCTGAGACTGTCCCTATCAAATGACACTCTCTGACTCTGAACCTCAGTTACAGCCCGGGAGAGCATCTGGCTGCCCTTCATGGAGACGGAGCTGCAGTGTGACGAGAAGACCGTCATCATAGGCCACAGCTCAGGCGCCATCGCAGCCATGAGGTGCGTGCTGCTGGTGCTGCCCCTTCTCGAGCCTGGCTCACCTTCAGTGCCGACCTCAGCGGTGGTAACCCCATCTGCCTTAATTCCTTCCTGGTTTGGCTAGTGGGTTGAAAAACGTAGTACAGTAATTGCTTCAACTAGCATGCAGTGATCCTTTTCAAACCCAGCAGCGCTGGGCTCTGCCATCCACCTGCTCCCTTCTCTCCTGCCAGCCGGGGCTCCTTGCCCTCCGCAGGAAACAGTAGGCGCATCCTGCTGGCGCCCGCCCCTCTATTATCTCTAGAACTTTCTATCATCTGATACCCTTTTTATTTCCCATCTTCTGCCAGTAGAATGTAAGCTCCACAAAGATGGTCTTTGTTTACTGTTAGACTGAAACCCTAGGGCCTAGAAGAGAGCCTGGCATATGGCAGATGCTTCCTAAGTATTGGTTACAGGTAGGAGCTGTTACCCCTTCCTCTGTAGCTCTGAGGAAAGGGATTTCCTGGCCGAGCTGGCCTGTCGGGGTTGGCTTCTCCCATATTCCCTACGCTGGATGACAAAGGATAATAGTTTTATTTCTGTGGCTCCTAGTCCTAAGCAGGTGCTCAGGGTATCACATGACCTGCAAGTCAGGGAATCCTGCCAAATTCCGTAACCTTTCAGCTACAGTGATCAAAGCTATGGTAATAGTAATACCTTGGAGCACAGGGCTACTCCATTGTGGTACAGTCCTGGCCTACTGGATGCTCATAAGCTGCCGGGGTTGTCAGGAAAAGGAAGAGATCCCTGTATTGCTGCAGTCTGCCCAACTCAAGGCTAACTGCCACCCGCTGGGGAAGGTTGGCCTTCTCTACAGGACCCTGAATTTACTTCAGGGTTGGCAGCAACCTTCTAAGAGCTGACTTCTAAAACTAAGGGAGGGAAGGAGAAAAGCAGGTGTAAAGCCATCAGTGTAAGTCTGTGCAGGAGCAGGCAATGGACACAATCACAGGGGAGCCCTATAGATTACTTGTGAATCACAAAGTGGAAACTCCCTTTACAACGGAGAGCACTATAGAGATAATCTTAGGTGATCTAATCTCACCAACAGTGGGACAGACTGGCTTCATCTCTGAAAGGATGGAGTGACAGGGACACACCGACACCTAGGGAGCGTTCTTGCCAGGAATGTTTAATCTCAGTCTAATTATGAGAAAGACAAATCCAGATTAGGGGGTAGTGTACAAAACAGTTGCTCTGAACTCTTATTAAACAATGTCAGTGTAAGAAATGGAACAGTAACTACAAAGTTAGGAAAACTATAAACAAGTGCATGGTCCTTGACTGGACCTAGGATGGCAAAACCAGTTGTAAAGGACATTTTTGGTATAATTGGGGGAAAAATAGATGCAGATGATATTACCATGTCAATGTTAAATTTGTTGGTGATAATAATGGAATTGTGGTTATGTAAGAGAACAGTCTCCTTGTTCCTAGAAAATACTAAAGCAAGAGTGAACTGTGGTAAATTTAACAAATCTAGGTACTTTGAGTCTTTCAACTTTGCTGTAAGTTTGATATTTTTCAAGATTAAAGACCTGGAAGCAAGGCATGGTGGCGCATGCCTGTAATCCCAGCACTTGGGAGGCTGAGGCAGGAGGATCATTGCGAGTTTGAGACCAGCCTGGGCTACAAAGTGAGCTCCAGGCCAGCCTGAACTGCATAGCAAGACCCTGTCTCAAAAACACTCAAAAAAAAAAAAAAAAAAAAAAAAAAAAAAAAAGATTAAAGACTTGGGAATAAAACTTTAGGCCCAAGAACAAAATGCTGACCCAAAGTGTTTCCAGGCACAGGAGGCTTCTTGAAAATATCCGTTCCACACCTCTCCTTCGTCTGGTCTTTGCTGAGCAAGGCAGTGTCTTCACTAAGCTGGGCACCACTTGCTGAACAGCATACTGGGAACCAGGGACCATGACCAGTAAGCTTATCCCTGCCCGCAAGGAGCTGATGGTTTAGCGGAAGACACAGACACAACACAACACAAATGAGCAGTACAGGGCCATGTGGAATGTGTGGCAATACAGGCTCGTTTCTGGCATTGCACTGTTTCTTCCAATATGGTTCCCAGACCCCTTACATTAGTCAGCTGGGTTAGGGAAGGCAGAATGCCTTAAAATGCAGATTCCTGGGCCCCAGCCCCAACCCCTCTGCATCTGATGCTCTGGAGCTTAGCCTTGGAATCTGCATGTGAACTAAGTACACATTAAAGTTGGAGGGATGCACTTGTCAGAAAGAATGGTTACGTATCTTTCGCTTTTTGGGGAAAGGGATACAGAAGAGGTCTGGGCTACCTTGAAAAATGAGTAGGAGTTTAGCAGAGTATGGCGGCCCACGCCTATAATCCCAACACTGTGGGAGGCTGAGCCAGGAGGTTCACAAGGTCAAGCTCAGTCTGGGCACCTTAGCAATTTAGTGAGACCTGGTCTCCAAATAAAAAATTAGAAAAGGGTCTGGGAATGCAGTTCAGTGCAAAGGCCTTGTGTATGATCCCTCATGTCACACACACACACACACACACACACACATGCTCATCACCCAGCTGTGGGTGAGGCCATAGCTCTGCAGTCTCCTTGCCATTTTTCCCTCAGCCTCAGTAGCCCGTAGCACCTGTTTCCAGCAAGCTCTATCAAGTGAGTTACGCAGTTTGTTGACTTGTTGGGGATCAGATTTGACACATCTTGGCTGACACCACTTCTCCCTGTGCAGGTACGCGGAGACACATCGTGTCTATGCTATTGTGTTAGTCTCTGCATACACCTCAGACCTGGGGGATGAAAATGAACGTGCAAGTGGTGAGTCTGAAGCCAGAAATCGAGGAAAGCCCTTCATCCAACAGAGGGCTGTTCAGGTTATAAAACAGGCCCAGCTTTCAGATGGCGGGGATAGGAGGGGGATCTAATAGCACAGAAATACTTTCCACTTGGCCCTGGATATAAGTTAGGTATGGACGGTGGCCTCTTTCTCACCCAAAGTCTAGAATTGAACCCTAGGGGCTGAGTTTTATTTGGGCCATTGACTCCCTCTTCACAGGAGCTGCGCATCAGTGTCCAGACACAAGCAAAGAGTGCTTCTGACTCACAGGACGGCTCTGGTCCTGTGTCTGCAGGGTGCCCACGGGGTATTCTAGGCTGTCGGGGTGGGGTGACTACCCCTGGGCACTGAGAGGTTATTTTTACCCCCCTAGGATACTTCAGCCGCCCCTGGCAGTGGGAGAAGATCAAGGCCAACTGCACTCACATTGTGCAGTTTGGCTCTACGGACGACCCTTTCCTTCCCTGGAAGGAGCAACAGGAAGTGGCAGACAGGCTGGGGGCCAAGCTGTACAAATTCACTGACCGCGGCCACTTCCAGAACACAGAGTTCCACGAGCTGATCAGTGTGGTGAAGTCAATGCTGCAAGCGCCCTCGTAGTTGAGACGGCTCCTGCTGTCCGCATCCCAGGGGAGGGAGGGCAGCGATACTGTATCTGTTACCAGGCGTCACACATTGTTAGGGACCAGAAGTGCCTGAAAACACACGTTTCTACCGGCACACTCAGTCCCAAACAGCATTTCCACAGAATCTAAATCTTCCCACACTGCTGTGAACTACAGCAGTACTTCTTCCATGGATAAGGGACCTAAGGAGTTTAATTGTCCTTATTTATCTGAAGAGTCAATCAGAAATGGAACCAAGGTTTCCTGGTGTCAGTCCAGGTAAAAACTGTACAAGTTTTCACACGTGTTGGAGACCTATAATCTTTTCCTTGTAGAAATAAAACTTTTTTTATTAGGGAAAGGAAGTGTGAATAAAGGCCCAGAGAATCGGCTTAGAGCTCAGAACACAACTGCTGTTTCAGCTGGCCCAAGATACTAAACCCTTCACCAGTGACACTGCGCCCTGACTCGGCTCCTTCAGACAGGGTGAGAGACCCCAACCAACAGGCTGAGTCAGACAGTGCCTGGGTCCGGTGGGGAACAGAAGCATAGCCTCCTATAATACCGACCAAGTGACCGATTTGTACAGGAGAGAGTAGTGGGATCAGGGCCACGCAAAGAGCTCAGCCCTGCCTGAGTTGGTGTATGTAAACATGATAAAGTCTAGCCAATTTTCTGATTTTTCTAGGGAAAAAATTCTTCATCCTGTGGTTTTTAAAATTTGGGGAACATATACATGTATCTATAACCCTTACGTCCAGGAATTATGCCCAGTTCATATCTGTGTAGATTGTAGTAGCTGGAAACCTCGTTGTGAGTTAAAATTGCAAACATGACGAGATCCAAGTGATCCGTTTGTGACCATGGCCACAGGCATTAACTGACCCAGGTGCTTTTGGGTAATTCTGTATAAAGGCCAAGAAGAGCCTAAGAATACCAAAATATGCATGTCAAAGGATGAAATACACAGCCGCAATTTGGAATTTGTTACTCTTTAAGTATTTTTAAAAATAACCTTTCTTCCCAAACCAATAAACAAAAGATAACCTTTCCAGCCAGGCATAGTAGTGCACACCTGTTGTCCTAGCACTCTGGGAGGCTGATGCAGGAAGATCGGGAGTAGTGATTTACTGACACCCTGTCTCAAGATAAAATATTTTAACAAGGGTTGGGGATGTAGCTCAGTCTGAAGGCCCTGAATTCAGTGTCACAAAATGAACAAACCCAAACGCAAAAAAAAAAAAAAAACCAGCAACAGAATACCTTTCCATCCTTCACGTTTTGTTCTGCAGAGTTCAACCTTTTAACTTCCTAAAAGGCTCTTTGAACCATTCCAAGATATTTTTCTTCTGATCATATACCTCAAAACAAAACAACCAACTTTTTTCAATTCCCAACCTTTTTTTGGCTACTTGTTAAGTACTGCCTCAGTTTCCACTGAATTCACATTCGATGTTGGAGAATGTGGGTCCGAGGCAGAAATGGGATTTCCTAGCCTGTTTATGCTTACAGAGGATTCACAGCCACCTTAAGACGAAGTCTTTTGGTTTCTAGACATAATCAGACAGTCTGGAAAAGACATTTGAACATTAACAGCAGTTATCTTGGGGAATGAGAATTTAGCAGGTATATTGTGATAGATGTCCTAATTTTACTTTTTTACCAGGGGATTATCTGAATTTGTTACAATGAACATGTATGTGTTAGTTTTATAATTAAAATAAAATTTACTTGACAAGTTAGTAAAGGCAAATTAGATACGTTAGAGAATAATGTTCTTAGAAACTGGTTAGCACTGATTCGACCAAACTTACAATCAGAATTTAATTTTACTTAAATCATTTGGAATTAGTAATTGCATTACTCTCTGCCTTGCTTTCTTGTTTCTTTAAAACACTATAAATGTATACAAACAACAATCATTTGTAATGTTTTATTGTCTTCTTCCTTCATAGGAAAAAAAAATCCAAATATATACAATTAAGAAAGAACTCATTCTGGTATCTTTCATTCCTACCATAACTAACATAAGCCCCAGGATTGTGGAGCTGTGCTGCCCAGCACAGTAACCACAGGCAGAGGTAGCTAAAAAGTGCAGGATTCAGTTCAGTCTCCCAAGCCGTGTTTCAGGTGCTCAGCAGACTCTGCTGGCTCGTGGCTGCCTCCCTGGACGGCAGAGACAGTGCACTTCCACAAGTTCTTTTTAAAAAGTGTCTTCAGGGCTGGGAATTTAGCTCCGTGGCACAACGCCTGCCTGGTAAGCATAAGGTCCTAAGTTCGATTCCCAGTACCAAAAAAAATTGTCTTCATAAAAGATATTTAGTCTTACATATCATTTTGTAAGGTTGAGTCTAAAATGCTGAAATGGGTCATTTTTACTGAACATAGTAAGTTCTGCTACTGGTTTGACTCTATATTAGTTGCATTCAGAAAGCACTTGTCAGTATTCTTGCTTAGATCTCTTCTATTTCAATCCCTACAGGCAGAAGTGAATCAGTTCAATGTTTCCAATGAAAACTTTAACAAATTAACCTTAAACACATTTGTGCTCCAGCTATTAACCCAGTGCTTGGTAAACTTCTGGCTTCTTTGTCTGAGTTTTCCAAAGTCTTGAGAGCATCAAAGGCTGAGACCCTCCAGCGCTGCAGAGCAGGCTTGTCCAAAGCCTGGCCTGTCCCATTTTCTGTGCACATTCCATCAGGACACATTTAGTCTTCATAACGTAAAGAAAAAAAAAGCCTTCAGAGCAGCAAGTCTGTATCCATTGTTGTGAAGTATGTTTTCAAGGAAATTTGAAGTTCCGCAATGAATTCAATTAGTTGCTCTTGAAGTAACCTCATTTGCAAAATGTCAGTAAAGTTCATTGGTCTTTATTAAAATTCAAGCCACTCTGTCATGTAAATACAGTTAGAGGGTGAAATCTCACCACCTTCATGGCAGTCATCAAAGACCTTTAAGAAAGAAAAATGGTTATATCCAACCTGACCCAAGCATCCAAGCCCCAAACATCTATTTGCAAACTGAAAAGGATCAGGACTGCATTTACTATGAACATACTGTCACTGGGCCTGCTCTGGAGCAGGTTGCAGCATTAAAATGAACATGCCATGCACCTAGCAGAGCAGTATGAGAGAGGGTCCTATGCATTTGAATGGCTTAGTGTTAACTAGCCAAATGCTTGTTTAGCTGTCTTCCTCTGGACCCAATTCCCAGTATGTGAGGCCTTTTACCTAGAGGTTGAGACCAGGACATGGAGCACTTAGCATACAAACAGGGGCCAGCATAACGACATATAACACAGATGAGCAGCCTAAGAATCTAATGCCATGAGGACTGGATGTTTCTTGTTCCCTGGTGGCCTCGGTGCCTACAGCACACAGTTAGTGCTAATCAACCACCTGGACATGAGTGAAAGTGTGTGCTAGGCCATGGCAGGAAAAAGGCATTACTCTGAGTTTGACTAAGCATGTGCTGTACCACTGAGCCGTATCCCTCACCCCGAGTTCCCTCTTCAGGGGAAGTAACAGCATTCACTTCAAAGACATCAGAAGGATTCAATAAGACCGTGTATGAAAATCATTAAGCACAGCCTCCAAAATTCTCACTTCCTTAGGGGAAACGATTAGCCCTCATCAGAAAGTGTGCATTTCAGCACCAAGAGCAGAAAATGCACCTATCCCTAAGCTGACTATCCCACAAGAGATGTAAGGCAATGATCTTTTTTTCTCAAAAGATCTGTTCATGGAGTTTATATGGAAGTTTTAGCACCTCTTGGTCAGCCCTGCCAGTCTGGGAAGACGGGCACATGCTGTTTCTTTAGGTGGTGTTTGTGGCTGGTGATAGCCGAGGGTACAGTGAAGTCACTTAGCTTACCGGGCAGAGTCCGCAGGGAGCCCGCACCAAGCCCGTGGGTGGGATTATAGGACTGACTGCCCTGTACAGTTTCATGTGTCCGTCTACACTGCCAACCGTGCCTTCTTTGGCAGCAATGATAGTCATCTCCACTTTCCCGTCATAAATGAGGGTATTCAAGATGGTTTCGATGTCCTCCATGGATAACTCTACCTAAAAAGGACACATTAGAAAGGACACAGAAAAGATGAGGGGACACCCTTTGGGGGTGTTATAAACACAAGTCCAGATGACACAAGGAAACACGGTGCTGCAGAAGTCATGGAAAACACAGAGTGACAATGGTCCAAGTCAGCACAAACCACTGAAAAGCTAGGGACAGAGTCTAATCACATGCGGAGCCTGACCTGATGTCTTCACCAGCCTAAAGTAACTTTTTCTTTTTTTTGCAGTGGTGGGTATTGAATCCAGGACGTCACACACGCCGCACAAGTGTCCTACCACTGAGCTATATCACCAGCCCTTTTTAGTTTATTCTGAGTCAGGCTCTTGCAAAGTTGCCTGGTTAGCCTTGTATTTGCAATCCTCCAGCCTCAGGGTCCTGAATAGCTGGGATTACAGGATGTGCCACCATGCCCAGCCCTGAAGTAACATGTTTTTGACAGGAATTTGACGGGGAACCTTAAAATACCTGAGCAGAAAGACAGACCAGACAACAAATAAGTTCTGCCAGGCACAATCGTGTACATCTGCAATCCTAACACTCTTGGAGGCTGAGGCAGGAGGACTGCTGAGTTTGAGGCCAACTTGGGCTACATAAGTGAGTTCAAGTCAGCATGAACTATACTGTGAGACCCTGTCTCAAAAAAAAAGGGCCAGGGATA